TCAAGAGAAATCTTTTCTCCGATTGACCAAAAGCCCTAATTAACAGATTTGTCTACAGGGTGACGCGAGGTGTACGGAACACCGCGCAACGGTTGAATCATTTTGTCAATCTACACTCCATTACTGTGTACGGTGTTAGGATTACCAAGTGATTTACAAGGCGCCTCAGATGAGTGAGTTCTTGTTTGTTAAAACAGGAAATATATGTTCATAACACATGGCGTTATAAAATCTTCCTTATACCATTCGCAATGGGCTCTATAAAATTATACAACAGACGCAGAAAGTCTGGCAACGTCGTGCGTGGAGTTATTGCACAATCTGACAACCATGTTGCGTCCAGAAAAAAATGGCGGTTTGACACTGACGTTCCTTCTTCAGTGATTTTTTTCTTCATTAACGCCATATGGTCGAACGGGATTTTAGGTAGAAGTCATAAGTGGAGAGTCCTCTTTCAACGACTATAATTATACCGATCAGAGATGACATGTTTTGCAGCATGTTGATCCGATGTTCATTACCCAAAATGGTACGGTTACGGTGATACAGGGTGTCCCAGAAATAACCCGTCAGAGTGACACGGGAGGTAGATTGGATGCAGATCCGTCAGATAAAATCAACGTGACCTTGAAGTAAGTAAAAGTTTTCTGGCATGCGAGATATTTCCACATTTAAGCTTTTTCAAAAAATCACTACTTTTTGCTCCTTTTTTATCTGTTATTGATATTAAGAACCCCTAGCTTGTGTTTTTTCCTGGGCTCCCATCATTAATTAATTGAGATAATCGAGAATTCATTTCATTATGATGAGAAAAACAAATTTTTGCATTTTGTTTCAATGTGTGCCCTAATCGGCAAATGATCTTGAAATCTTAAATCTAATTAGATTTTTTGCAACATATGATGTGCCTCTTGAAAGAAGAAGAATGCTTGTGCGGTAAGGGGATATCCTGATGAAACATTCCCTAGAAGATGGATTGACTCGTTAGGACCAATTTTGTGGCTCTCATGCTTCCCAGACCTGAACCCTCTGGATCTTTTTTCCTGGGGATGTTTAAAGATGAGATCTATGGACAACCAGTCAAGCAAAATATCCGATTTAAGTTTGAGGCGTTTAAAAGGACATTTTGTAGGAAGATGCCGGTTGTGTATAAAAGTCGGTTGTAGACATTTGGAAAATCTGTTGTGAAAATAATAATAATTTTAAGAACGATGTTCAACAAACCAAAACTGTATCCAACTGACGTCTCATACAAAGATTGTCACGTGCAAAAATGACTAAAGTTACACAAAAAAGGGTCAATTACTGGAATGTTATTATAAATTCAAATAGCTTCACAACGATGGAACTTTATTATCCAAAAGTTACGAAAAACTTCATCCAGGATCTAAAAATGAAAAAAAAGGTTGGCAATGCCTTATTTTTTAATCACCCTGATTTGAACGGTTATAGATGAAAATAAATCAAAATTAACTTCGCTGAGCATTTTTCCCAAAATGTACCAAGAGAACCGCAAACAGGGGTGCGACCTTTTCGTTGGGCCACCCTGTATGTGCGGCGAATATCCTGGACCGATTTTATAATTATAATAATGTATGGTAATGGTCATAAGCGGAGTTTCAGCATAGCCTACTTATCTGTTGGAGTGCAAAATGCATCATTGCTGATACGTTACGTTTTGGACAGGTGGTGATTACATGGTCTGGCCACAAATCACATTTTCGTTGATTGCCCGTGTCCACGTTGCGCCGCCCAGATCTTAATTTATCACCAACGCATGACGGGTCGGTGAAGTCGCTCCGTTCACTCTCGTTTTGCATTCTTCAGTTTTTCGGAGCTGTTTTTGAGCTTCAAATCCAACGTAACGGATAATTCGTTTTTGAACAAGAAAACAATCAACTTCGCAGATTACGAAATTTAATACTGAAACGTAGACTGCATCAACAATATAAACGATCAAAAAGTCAGGAAATCAATGGACGATTTTCTAGGGTTCGTGCACTTGTTAAACAACAGATAAAAGACTGTTACAATCTATATCTGCGAAAAGATGAAAACGATTTCGTTTAATTTTGGATTCTTGGATTTTGGTTCTTGACATCCTTTACGATCGGTTACGATGCCTAGAGTACGGAGACCTGTACGATTTCGTCGACTTAGTGAGTTTGATAGGGGCCGTATAGTGGGACTTCGGGAAGCTGGACTTTCTTTTCGGGCAATTGCATTTAGAGTGCAAAGAAGTGTAGACACTGTGGTTAGGTGTTGTCAGGCATGGCTTCGAGAAGGCCGTACGCAAAGAGCAAGGGGCACTGGACGCCACCGTAGAACAACAGACCGTGAAGATCGCCGCCTAAGATTATTGGCCTTAAGGGACCGTTTCTCCACTACCAGGTCCATTGCAAATGAATGGTTTGCAGAACACGGAAGACCTATTGGCATGCGAAGTGTTTACCGACGAATGAGAAGTTTTGGCTTGTTTTCATACCGGCCACACTGGGTCCTCCCTTTAACTCGAGAACACCGACGTAATCGCCTTGAGTGGTGCAGACGACGGTCACTCTGGGATCAGGAATGGAACAGTATTGCCTTTAGTGACGAGTCTCGATTTTGTTTAGGCATGCACGATGGTCGTGCCAGGGCTAGAAGGCGACGTGGTGAAAGGAGGAATCCACAGTTTTTTGTTGAAAGACATGTTCATCACACTGTTGGAGTTATGGTTTGGGGTGCTATAACTTATGGTTCCAGGTCACCTTTAATCTTCATCAGAGGTAACATGAACGCGCAACGTTATATCCACGAAGTTTTTGAACCCCATCTTTTACCCTATCTTGACACCCTGGCGGATCCAACTTTCCAACAAGATAATGCCCGACCACATGTTGCAAGAGTCACAATAGACTTCTTTCAACATAATGATGTCACATTGTTACCATGGCCACCAAGATCTCCCGACTTATCCCCAATTGAGCACGTGTGGGATATAATGGGTAGGATATTGCTCAATTTGCAACGTCCTCCTCAGACTCTAGAAGCACTTCGAGCGGAGTTGGTGGTTGCCTGGAATGAGATACCACAGGAGGACATTGACCACCTGATCAGAAGCATGCCTAGGCGCGTTGGAGAATGCGTAGCACATCAGGGTGCATCCACACATTATTAAAGGTCAAAGGGCTTTAAAGCAGTGCAATCATTTTGAAATTTTTATCATTTACTTATTATGCTTCACTAAGTACTTATACAAAATTTTATTAAAATAAAACCATTTAAACTTGGTGTTCGGATTTATATGTCACTTAGTATACTTATCTATGTACGGACTACAATATTTTAACTTTAAGGGCGAAATATCGTCTATCCCGGTTGCATTACTTTTTGTGTTGTTTAAAATTTTGTTTATATTTGTTATTTCTGCTAATTTAAAGTTAAAGGTTAAGTTATTTTTAGTGGCACTGTTTTTATAAAATTTAATTTTTTCTGAACAGTTAGATTTATTTTGTAGAAAAGCAGCAAAAAAGTTATTAATATCATCAGGTTCTGATAAAGACTGTGGAATTCCATTATTTTTTGTAGAACAGATATGAAAACTTTTTAAAACTGACCACAGTTTTTTGGAGTTACCTTCAAAAGATTCTATGTATTCCTTCTTCTCTTTTCTTATCAACGATAAAGTAAAATTTCTTAAATGTTTATAATCTACCCAGTCTGATTGAAGCTTTGATTTTTCAAATTTTTGCAGCGCTGCATCTCCTTATTTCATAAATAATTTAATATTGTTAGTTAACCAAGGCGCTTTTGGTTTTGTTAATAGTGATTCTTTTATTGGTGCATGCTTACTAAACAATGTAAAAATTAGACTATTTAAAATAGTTATTGTATTATCAATATTATTCTCATATAATATATTATTCCAGGGCAAACTTGGCATATCTGCTAGAAAATTATTTAGGTTAAAAGAACGATGTTTTATTATTTTAGGTGATTTACTTTCCTTTGAAACATTAATTCATTAATTTATGATCTGAAATATCATCCGAAGATAAAACACCAGACCTCGCCACTATCGACAAGTTAGTGACTAATATCGCATCAAGCAGCGTACAAACCGTTCCAGAAATGCGTGTAGGTTCACTAATGAGTCCCTAGGATGGTGGGACAGCCAATTGAGGCAAAAGAGTTCATCAAAGAACGAAGGCCGCTTTTACAGAGGACCTACTCGAACTCAATAGGAAGGTCATAGGGCCATAGTGGGTCTCCTGACAGGACACTGCCATCTAAATCGACATATGAGTCTTTTGGTACTGGCAGAAGAGGCCACATGCATGAGGAAACCCCAATGCAGCTTCTGTGTCACTGTGAAGTCCTGACACGGCTACGGTTTCAGATAGTAGGAACCACAGGTTTTAATAGCAAGGTCATGTGTCAACGCTATTGAGTCTGATCAGGGCTGGACACAGTGCAGACTTATAGAGATGTCAGTGTTTGGCCTTGAACCATAAATCCCAGCTCCAGCTCCGTCTTTAGTTTCCAAGCCAAGTGTAACAGGAGCTTGTGGCATGTATAGAAGGACCTTCCTATTGTTTGATAGTTTATATCGAAACAGTTGTTCCCGTGGGCATTACTAATATAGGAAACAATAAAATTTTATCAAGCTATATTTGGTATCCGCGGAAAGAAACACAAGCTTGGAACTCTTCGTGCCTAATCTGTTCTTGCAACAAAAATAATTAGACTGCGTTGACGATAAGCTACTTAATCACAACACGCATAATTAGAACACCATTAAAACTCAAATAATATCACTACTCAGATTTCATTATGCACCTGTGCCCGATTACGGTTGCGCGATACAACTTCTGTTGTTGCTGCTTATCGCGAAACGTAAAACGATCGCTCTCCGGCACGCTTTGTACACTTTTACGATTACTTTTATGTTTACATCGGGCTCGAAGAAATAGAAAATGTGCCGTTAAAAGATAACTCACACTACAATAAGCATCGACGGCGTTCGATACCGATACAGTTAGATTGGCGAGAGTTTAAAAAAACACAGATACAAAAAAGTCTGAAGGAATTAAGGAATGTTCAGCGCCGAAACCAAATAGTGCCGAGTAAGTGTTCGTGTTTTGGTAAAAAGGCGAAACTATTGCTTTTTAGCGGTTCTGTACCGGGTGACCCAATAATAAGAATAGGAACAGCGTCTTTATCGAGAGCGATCCCGTGAAAAATTTTATAACAAAAGTGGCCAAGGGAAATTGCTGGAAATTATTTTCAGCTTCCTAAAACGGCTGCTGGGAGGCGAATTTTCAAAAAAATGCGTACTGGGCGTACTGATTTAATAACTTCATTGACAACCGCCAGAATCGTCAGCCATCTAGCGGTCATGTGGTGACTGGACTATTACACGTGAACTGAAAACTAACAGTTCCAACTGATAGCAGCTATGCGCTTTTCGAAGTGGTCAATTCTGGAATGATAATGGTCTTATTTGGATCTACTATGATTGCTTAATTTTCGGACTTTTATCTCAATGCCATTTTCCATATTTTGTTTTAGTGAGAGAGTGTTTGAATGTCATTTCAGAAAAAGTGATACAACTTCAGAACACACACCACAATCTTGGTCTCATTCCAAAGAGCTTGCGCGTCCGCTCCTACCCAAGCCCCAACCTGGACAAATCAGTTCACTTTGTGGCGCTACTAGATAGCGTTTTATAGATGTGTCACTGTTTCATTTCAACCGATAATGTCAAACAACGGTATATTTTTTTCAATATTACTCGGGAAAATCCTATAAAATGGCGAAAACCGCAGATCAATATTTATATTCATTACGGAAATATACACTGTGTTCCAGATTCGCTTCTCTATACAGGAATCTTGGCTCCTTTTAGACTTACAGCAAAAGTTGAATGGGGGAAGTTTTAGAGGAAACTTGTGCTTTCGATAGCCAGCTTCAGATTCGCGATCGGTCGATTGGTTTTGAAAATATCAGCGAAAAACCGAAAATGGCGGAATTTCTATTTTGCATGTAAATTAAAAACGGTTAATACATACTATTTATAACAAAATAAACAAATATTCTAACAGCGATAAGTATTTTTTTAATTGGAAGAAAAATAATTAGCAATTTTTGTCTGCGTAAATTTGCGCTTAGCATTGTCTTCCAATGCCTGCGCCCGTAATTTACGAAGAACTAAAATATCCGTGTATGAAACTTCTTTTCTTTCAGCCCAATCTAAAGCTTGGTTAAAAACTTGTATAGCTTGCGCGTCAGTCACTACACTTCTGACTTCAATGGGATCATTCTCATCATCCTCACTGTCGATATCCTCCTCCTAATCAGCATCATTCGTCTGCTTATCTTCGTTCCATAAATTAATATCAGCAGGAGTACAAACAATGTTGGGATTCACTGTTTTCAATAAATCAACAACATCCAATGACACACTAATAACATTATCATTATTGGATCGCAAACGTTCTCTAATTACGCTTAAGGGGACATCGTCTTCTTCATCATCTTCATTATTGGTACAAAAGAGATTGTTCCAACATTTTTTAATAGTTTGCTGGTTAAGTTCATTCCAGGCCTTATGTAAATCTAAAACAGCTTCTCGTAATGTTACTTTTTTTAAAGCCTCAGATAAGTTTTCAGGATTCTTTGATAAGACATACGAAAGTAGAAACTTCCTATAGTATAGTTTGGTGTGTCTTATTATATTCTGGTCCATCGGTTGAATTAACGGTGTTACGTTGGGCGGCATGTACATGACGAAAATTGACCCATCCCTGCTCCTCAGTTGTTGCTCGGGAGGATGACTTGGTGCATTATCCAATAGTAACAACGCTTTCATTGGAAGCTTCTGTTGTTTTAGGAAACCTTTTACCTACAAATTGAAAACACATCTTCAAATTATGAATAGAGCATTTGTGATAATTGATTGTCATACCTGAGGGACAAAGCACCTGTGGAACCATTTCAGGAATATACCGCTAGTCATCCAAGCGGTTTTTGAACGGTCATAATCAACAGGGATAATAACATTTTTAAATGAGCGCGGATTTTTTGCTTTCCCAACTACCAGTGGCTTTATTTTGTGTGAACCATTAGCATTAGTGCAGGTTAGAAACGTTATTCGTTGTTTCTCCGGCTTTCTTCCCGGGGCAGATTTTTCAAATGATGCAGCATTGCATTTGCTAACCGTGTCACTCCCGCACCTAGTGCAACTGCGTCTATGATTTTCACTTTCTCACTCAACGTTAAACACTTTCTTTTATAGGATGTGGATGCCATAGTCGTAAAATATATTAACGCGTGCAATGTATTCACTCAAGTTCAAAAATGAAATACATACGTACGTATAAACGTATCCTAAACGATCATGCGACTGACCGAGTTTGTTGTTTTTATCGCAGAGGTGAATCCCCTACATTCTACATCATAAATCGGGGACTCCCCGACGCCCGACATCGAGGCTTCAGCGTTTTAACGTCGCGCTGTTTCCGTGCGCCGAGAGTTGTTTACGTTATCGAGCGTACACATCGTTTACGTTATCGCGCGTTCCGTTTGATCCTGCGGAACGAAGTTTGTGTTTACATTAGCTCAAGTTTTCATCATCCCGTGTTTACGTTATCGAGCGTCTGCTGTATTTCGATAATTTTTCCAAATCGCTGAATGCCTCGAGAAACGTGAAAGTTCAGATTTGTAAAATAGTGCAAATTTCCTCTCGTACTTCGCAGAGGCGTAAGTAGTCACGCTCCGGTACCTCCTGGGAGGATCGGCGCGCCCGATGACATCTCCGCATCGCGATGCATGGGTACCACGGTTCGTGGTGGAGCTGTAAGGACCTACATTCGCGATTATTTATGGCACTATTCAACGGTCGCGACCGGCCAAGGGAAATCCTACTGCCATTTTACGATCATCGTGAGATGCTCGCTCAAAATTCAATGGGTGTCAGATCGGGCCATCGGGCGGGCGGTCCGCTTTCTTTACGGTCGTCGGCTCGGTTGACAGGGATATCAGCGAAATTTTGAGAAAGTACCCTGGAATTACAAAGCCCGGCCTTGCTATATTTTATTACCTTAAAAATAAAACTCGGAATGCCTAGGTAATTTCAGGCGCTGAGTGTCGATATTAAATGAATCGCCATTTATCACGCCAGAATCGGCCACTGCGGAGAGCGCATAGATGTTGTTAGGTTTAGTGACCGCTAGATAGCTGATGATACTGGCTGTAAAGTAGATGTGGTCTACTTGCCATTGAATAAACTGAACATGACGCTTTTATCCAGCCAACCAAATGAGAACCAACCACGCACAATTGTTTCGTGCTTCTTGGCTATTCATCAGGATGATGTAGGCTCGGTCTGGTAATAGAAGATATGCGTTCTCTGCAGTGGACGATTCTGGTGTGACAGATGGCGCCTTGCGCTGTCTTATTTCGATAGACTGTAACTCGGGGGTGTAAGAAAACATCGCAACTACGAGAGATGAGAGACCAGGCCTAGACCATGCTGATGAGTATCCAAGAAGCACGAAACAGCTATCCATTGTTGTCTGTCTTTCGGTAGGATGGACGAAAGCATCGTGTTTAGTTCCATATTGAATATCGCGAAGTAACATGGAACGAAGTTGCAGGTATTTGAACTATACGCAACCGATTTACCTAGAAGAGGAATTCCAATATTTCGTGTGCCTCATCCATCACTTGACTTGGTTCCTTATAGTACATCTCTGGGAATTATCCCTATTTTTGCAAGTTTAACCCGCCATTCGTGTCTGTTACTACTGCGGTTTTACTTACTTCAGGGGAAAACGGCATCTAAATACAACTGTCAGGTTAACTGTAATGCTCGTAGAAAGTCAATCGTAGAAAGAAAACCCCGACGATGTGGAGAAACCTGAATTATGGTATGTATAGATTCAGATTTACCTAGAAACACGTTGAATGTTATACTCAGAGAGACTATCCGTGACGTATAGTGCCGGAGAATGCTTTTACGATTATACTTTGTGTGGTATTCAAATTATTCGGAATCCTATCAGTATCAGATGTACCTATAGAGCACTCCATGCCCAAAATAGTATTCGGAATCTTATAAGGAAAGGTTTGAACTTTAATACAAATACTTCATTTTTCGAAATTCATAATGCAAAAACGGCATAGAGATAAGTTACTGAAAGGTCACATATTTATAGACGTTCCTGAAAAAATGAGCATCGTTTGATCATTAAATTTTGAAAACCGAATTTTTTTTATATTCTGATAAGTTTGAAAATTTTGTATATTTTGAAACCTGTTATATTTTGAAAATTTTGACAAAAATGAAAATTTAAAACTTTTGAACACCAAGAATTTTTAAATAGCTACATATCTGAAAATTCAGAAACTTTTATAATTCCGAACTCTTCAATTTTTTTTCGTAAATTTTAATTTCTGAGATTCTGAAAATTTGGGAAATTTCAGACACATTGAACACTTTGGAAATATCAAAAATTTTGAATTTTGGGAAGGTTGGAAATCTTGTATATTTTGAAAATGTATATTGTAAACATTTTGTTAATTTTGCCAATCATGAAAATTTTGATAACTTTCAGTTTTGAACTGTGGAAATCTTAAAATATCTGAGAATTTTGAAATATCTACCTGAAAATTTTGAAAATTCAGAAAAGTTTATGATTCTGAATATTTTGAATCAGAAATCAAAACTTCCAAGATATCCGAGTATTTTGAAAATATTTAATAGTTCATATTCTGAAAACTTGAAATTTAAAAGACTTGGAATTTTTAGTTTTGCACATTTTGAACATTTTGAAAATCCGGAAATTTTTTATTTCAAAAATTCGTAAAACTAATTTGAAATAATGTTGCATCCTCCCTTTAATGTTTCTCAAAAGAATTATTGTTTGTTTAGAATCCAAGGCGAGTTTATCCCTTCCAGCACTCAATCCTCAAAGAACGTCTAATAATTATTACGATTAAGGATCTTTCTGGTCCCTAACGGTCCAAAAAACCTGAATAAAATTAAACTAAACGTGATGCTTGCGTCCGTTAGACCAAAATGACAGTCAACCGTGAATAGATGTTTCATGCTTTTTGGATACTCATCGGGATGGTCTAGGCTTTGTGTCTCGCCTCTGGACAACAATTCTCAACTAATAGCAGTTATGCGCTCGCCGCAGTGGTCGATTCTGGCGCTTTGCGCAGCCTTATTTCTAAACGAAGAAAAGGTCCAGAGCAGAAAACAATTTCAAGTAAATCATAACGCTTAAGATTCCAACTGATACATAGTTAGCTTTAGTAGTTGTGAAACCTGCAAGACCCTGGTGGAAATGAGATCACATCCTGATCTGAAACGCGACCAAGGGGGCATTTAGAATTCCATCGTGTGTCTTGAAGGCATTTTCGTCGTCGTCGAGAGACGAAATTCCTATAAAAAGACGGACCAGTATCATGATTATAACATCTAAACGTATAACGATCTCGGTAATGATACACGTTTACAAGATGGTAAAGATCACCTTTCTTTTATACAGGGTATATTCGGAATTTTATATCTCCGATGTTTATACTGTACAGTGCTTTTATCCCTAACTTTTTCTAAGCTAGTCAACATTGTAAGAAATTTTCGTATTCCCGCGTTCGCGCTTTCACTGTGAGAGAAGCATTATAGTAAAACATAGTATTCATGTAACGATTTCATTACCCCAAATTTTAATGTGATAATCTTAAGATATAAAACTAGTTTTTCCAGTCAAAGAACAAACTAATCGGTACACGTCTGCGATTGTGTACAGACATTAAGCGATCAAAGATGCAGGTACCTTGTAATTGTTTTAGACAATGACCTCTCATTAAAACGCCAATATCTGCAGTAGCTAGAAGAACAGTTATCCGTAGTAGCACCTCTATATTTTCTTCCTGCATTTACCTTTCTGGTTTTTTTATTCTGCTAGCTATGCATTGCTCATTCTTCACTCAAAACGTGTTATTAACTCTCTCGAAAGCTGTCTTGAAGACTGCTACTTTGTGTTTAATATTTATGTGGTAACCAGAATATGGTGTTCAATCAATTTAGCTCATGAATACATTAGAATTAGATTAGCCGTTTAATATTTATTAGATGTATGGTTTGGTCAAGAATTTTTTGTTAATGATTGAATACGGAATCTAGGTTTTCTAAGTCGAATATTGTTTACCGACGAAGCTTGTTTTTCTCGCAGTTCAATAATTATTAACTTCCACAACAATCACATTTGGGCCGAAAACGATCACGCCTTAATAGAACGTAATTTTCAAGAACAGTTTTCTTCGGAATTGTCGGTGACCATCTCACTGGGTCTCGTTTTATTCCACCTAGATGGAGAAGAATACCGAAAGTTTTTAGAATTTGTTTCATATGGACTTTTAGAAGAAATTCCAGTCATGAAAAGATTCCGTATGCACGACGACACTTTAGTGTCAACCTGATTATATAATTTCACAGCGTTATATGAGAAAGATCTCTCGAATAGTGTTGAATGGTGGCGAGGTATACTTAAGTGATCCTCGCATATTAAATTAAGAGACTTTATGTTTCTTCTAGTATACGTTAGGTAGGACTCTTTATACTTTTTTATTCTCTCTAGCTTTCAATGGACTTTGCCATCATCATCAGGAGCTGCAATTACAATGATAACACTTCTGTAAGTTGATTCAATTTAAATTCATCTTACACTTTTGTTGCTACTGTTATCATTGTAATTGCAGCTCCTGATGATGATGGCAAAGTCCATTGAAAGCTAGAGAGAATTAAAAAAGGTATAAAGAGTCCTCTTTGCTTAAATTTTGTCGAAGTACCCAACAAAAGGCGGAAGCTTTAATTTTATATATATATATATATAATCTTGTAGTCCAAATTTTGATCACAAAAACCAGCAATTCCGCTTCCTGGATAGTGAAGATACAGTGAGGAATTGCAGAAGTAAAAGGAATAAGCAATATCCGATGCAAATATCCTGCTTATATTCGAATGATTTATTGCAATGTATCTTGTAAAGTAGCAACGAGATGTTTTGCAAGATAAATACCCTCCTCGGATCATTGATGAAAAAGTGGAAATGTGAAGATTATGCGAATATGCTAAAGACTAACAGTAAAAGTCCAATATTAACACACTTTAATGAACACGTGTTTCCTCTGCCCACACGACCCGTAGCGTCTTTAGGTACTGCAAATGCAAGCTCAAAGTCATTTTACGCAAGCTTATACGTCTGCTCTAATATATGCATTATCAGAGTAATTCAGGCTACTTAGCCGAAATCGGACCCGAAGTCAGAAAAAAAAATTATGTACCTAGGTTTTACAATGGAAATATACAGGGTCTCCAGTAGAACTGCAGGGATCGGTTACTCAATAAGTTGACGTTAAACAGTCATAAAATTAAACTGGGTGTTCGGATTTGTATTTCACTTAGTATATTTAAATTTTAATTAAGTTCGTTTCAATTTATAAATGATCTGGATTGCAAAGTGTTTGTGGTTGTTTTAAGTGTTAAATATCTAAGTCAAAATAGGGTTAGGTTTACATTAGATTTTCTATGCGGTACTTTAATTGGGCAGTCGCTCATTTATAAATAAATAAATTTTCTCTAGCTTCCTTGGAATATCAAATACACTATTTTGATAAATATTAGAATTTCTATACTTTTGGTTTCAGTTAAACTATATTTTTATTTACTCTACTAACAAAACTCAATTGACTTTTCGATGTTTGGGCCATTGCTTATGTGAAAAAATACCTTCTATTGCTATTTCGAAAACTGTGGTCTACTTAAGAGGATGCTTGATAAAAACTGTTCAGAATTTTTCGCAGAATACAACGAACATTCTATAAAAAAAACAAATCAGTTTCTGAAAAACTGTAGACTCGGCAACATCGCGGATATCATCAACGGATCCGCCGTGGTTTGGAATGTCAGCTTACCAATTTTTGAAAAAATTAGATCAGTCATTCGTCAGATATTTGATGCGTTCCAAATCAGTGCTAGTAGTATTTTCAATCAAACAGTACCAGTACCGCCATTCCCTCACAGCCGCTACTCATCGTTCCCCGGGAACCTGATCAACCTGGCGTGTACCGCAACGAGAATTTCTCGATTGACGGGATCGGTGATCCTGACATCTAAGCCGAGTAGTACCGGTAGCACCTGTCATTTATACCCGTTGCTCGCGGTTCCGTTACCGAAGGCCGGCCGGACCTTGCACCGCTTGACGATCGTTCTTCCGCACGCAATTCTTCCTCCTCTTATTCTCCGTCTAGTCAGCGGTCCGGAGCTTTTCTTCTTCTTCTGTCCAGTCGTACGTTCGCCGTTCACCGGAACACCCACCGGAATCGGTCGTACCGGTTGCAGGTTCGCGCGCGGACTCGAGTCGCGGGTTCTCGGATGTGTGACTGTTTTATGTGCGGATTTGATCGTAGTATACATGACTCGGTGAGACTAATATATATTTTGTTAACTATAATAGCTAGTCCAGGTATACGGGGTGTACCTGTAGGGGATGCAGCTTAGGTTGAATCGAGAAAAAGTTGCGCTCTTTGAGGCGTATTTACGTGCCGTTGAGAAACTTGTAAAAAGTTCACGACTTTATTCGGAAAAATTAATATTTGACCAAATCATTCTTATTTTTTTCTGACTTTATTGTAGGAGATTTTAAAAAAACTGATGAAACTTTTCGATTGTCACTTTTTAAACACTACATGATGGTGCTTTTAAGCTTTGTTTCCGACAATTCGTTTTTGAAAAATCAACTTCATTTTTTATATGATTCTAAAAAAAGGTAGTCCCTGTAACTGATAGTTTATACGAATTCAACGATGCTTACATTTATTTTTTTGGTTATAAGGAAACATACATTTTTTCTGTTTTTTT